CTGCCTCTTTCACAACACTTAAATATCCACGTTAACAAGCTACCACTGCCTAAAAATGAGAAACATTGAGAAAGTTCTTTTTTTTTCATGCTGCAGCATTTTTTTGTTTTTAAGAAACAACAAAGCAAAACAAAATTATATTTTACTTTCTTCTTTTTAAAAATTAATCATCTTTTTTTTTACTTGGCACCTCATGGGTGTGAAAGCATGGATGCACTTGTGCATCCAGGGGTGTATGGGTCTATGTGTGTGCGTGTATGTAGGCAGGTAATGTTGCACCAATGTGGTGCAAATCTCCAAAACCTTCAATACTGGGACAAAGAAGGAATTCAATGAGGTGAGATTTGTGTAATTCCCCTCCTTTTGAGAGGGCAAGGTTGGCAGTAGGGGTCTGAAGAGGATGGCACCAAAGGTTGTTCTAAGAACTCAAGCCTATTGATTTACAATAAATTTGTAAGATAGCTGAATGAAATGCTGTAGTGCACAGCAAGAAGAAAATGCTTGTTTCACATTTCTCTGCCCACCAGCATGGTACTTATGTGTATTGCACTTCCACTGGGGCAGAATCCATGCAGATTAACATGTGCCATGCCATCTAGAAGGATGTGTTTTCCACAGGTCTTCTTCCCAGTTACAGAAGGAAAATGCATTCATGGGGTACAGGGTGTGCCACTTCAGCCACAAATGCACCTTTCACTTCTAAAAGTACAGATAAGTACGCCGCCACAGTGGGAGACCGAAGGCCCCAGGGCAGATTTTGGGCCTTGCTTTCTATCAGTGTGCTCTCCACCAACCACAAGTTCCCCTCTCCCATGCTCCAGAGGCCACACAGTCAGTGTGCAGAGACAAGGGAGCAAGGATTACTCACTGAGCAACTGTTACCATGGCCCCTTCCTTTTTAGTTGATTAAGCAAACGTTAATCTTCCAACCTTTGCTCATGAGTTACATTTGCTCTGTTTTTCTGATGTTTGGGTGTCTCTTCTGGACTCCAGACATTCTGGTTAGCATATCCACCCCCCTGCTGCTGCCCTAAACTGCAAGCAAACCTCTAGGCAGATGTCTCCTTCTCTGGAGAATGAGTTTTAATGGCTTTCCACATGATGTTCCAGGGTCAAATGCAATCTAACAATTGTATTGCTGACTTCAATTAGTTTGTGGTTCACTGCAACTGCTAGGTCCTCTTTTAAAATATTTCTATCCATCCAATTATGCTCCCATCTTTTATCTGACTATTTGCTTCCTTGCTACAGTAATTTTCACTTATAATTACTGAATTTCCTGTAATTGATTTCAGATCATTTGGACATCAATTACTACCATTGCTACTGAGCTACTTTTCTTTTATTTAGAAACTGCTCTCCAAGCACTCCTTTCCACAACTATTTCAACCTTTGTACCACCTAAAAATTGGATGTATTCATTCTATTGCTTCCATTAAATCACTATGAAAGATAGTGCAGTGTCTAATTTAGGATAGCTTTCAAGAATCCCAGCAGATGTCCTTCTCCTAAAGTGACAGCAAACTTCTGAAAACCTCATTATTCATTTTCAATGTTGCTCCCTTACTAATTTCCCTATGTTTGTATTTCCTTTGGATACTTCTGTGTCACCTGGGACTATGTATAAAGCCCTTTTAAGGTCAACCTGTATTGTATGTGCTGCCTCTTTTTTAACCCACTGGATCAGTCATCCTGTCAATGAAATAAATTAGTTTGGTTGATATAATCTGTTCATGACAAATCTATGGTGGTTATATCTTGTTTATTATCCTCCAGATGCTCAATAACTCTTTTATAATTTCAGTATCTTTGGATACCAAGGTTAGGCTGCCTCCTTTATAATCCCTTTCACCTTTGTCCCTGATTCTACCTTCAACCCTTCTTCATTTGGAAGAGCTGACGTTTGTCCTTCTTGTTCTTCCCTATCTTCCTACATCCTCCACATACTCCCCAAAATACAACTAATACTTCAGAGATCGTTCTGGCCACAGAGAATTTCCAACTGGAACAGATATTTTAAAGATATATTCCTGCTAAAATGGAATATCTTGTAAGATGCTAAGTAATGCTTCTCCATCCAAATTTAGAGATAAACATTTCAGCTGTGTCTATAAAGATACAGACCTAATAATATTGGTGCAAATGTTATGCCCTCATTAGTGTCTACCTAGCTCCTAAACAATCAAACATATAAACCTTTCTTTTAGCCAGGTGGAATATTCTGCTGAAATAAGGCTTCTCATCTTGTTCTGAAAAAAAACACGCAAAGATAGCAAGCAGTTGAAGTCTACCACGCTCCTTAGAGACAGGAACATGGAGAACAGCAGCAATCCGGTGTGTTTGCTCCAAGTTAGCTGATGACTAGAAATCTGGCCTAATCTCTTGTTAGAGGTAGAATATCTTGTTAGTTAGAATACCATTTCCTTTAACTTTAATGTGGAGTTCAAAAAAGGCACCAGCCATTCTGACTCAGCATTAAGACTCAATTTCTCCTTGGCTATGGGTATCTGATATCCCAGTGCATTCTTTCTATCTATCACACAATTGCCAAGTCATTCCAAGTTCACCAGAATGAGTTGCATCACACCATTTATTACAGTTTATTACCTCTTTAGAAGAACTAAATGCATTAGCTGTGAAGGAGGGGCTGAGAAAAATGCAAGAAAAAATCATTCTGTTTCATCTTATTCTACCTAAGCACAACAACTCAATAGCTTAAAGAAAACATTTATAAAGAAAGAGCAGGACATTGTACCCATTACTATGGCAGCTATATACTTTAAGTCAGCATGACAGACTGCAGCAGGGGAACAAAATTATTCAAATAAGGGGAAAAAACATTAATTCAGTGTATAGAGTTATTTCACTTGAACAGACAAAAGTTTCTATAATGCTAAGTTTGCTTGTTTTGATGTAACATATCCAAATCACTGGGTTTGCAAGGGCATTACCTATTCTGCAGTAATCTTCCCTTGTTCTGCTGCACTCTAAGCCATTGGAAATTGCAAAAACAATTGAGAGAAACCCCCTGAATGGTTCAAATGAGAGAAACCCCCTGAATATTAGCTACAACAAAAGAATTACAGGCCTTGTGGTTTTAATCATGTTAGCTGTCAACAGCAAATGACCATGATTTGGTATTTGGGAGAAGATCGCAGACTTTTTTGTTTCTTCTTGTCTAGCACAAGTGCTTTAAAGCTTTTCTTGAGCTGTACAGAGCATATTGTTGTACAGAGCATGTTGTTGATACCAATTTCCACACTGTATACATTAAGAAGAAAGGTGCTTGTAATTGCTAAACCAACCTCCTCATTAAAGCTCTCTTATGGACCTGCTGGCTCAAACTAAGCAAACAAGCACAGAAATTTGAAGTGGACTTTAATTCTACAGCAGTTTGAAGAAATTAAAAAGCATCTTTGGAAAAGCCTGAACCCAGCTTCCTTTGAGCTTTGGAGTAAAATCAAAATCAGTGCTTCAGATGCAATTAAAGTGTAAATAGTATATAATGTTCCATCTCCTTTCAGCTGCTCCCCACCATTTGTCACTGCATTTACCAATTATTCAAGATCTTTCCTCTAACAAGATTCTCCACCCTCCCAGTAAATTTCCAGTTTTCACCTCTGTATCCAGAAATATAGTAGTGTGCTGAACTTAGGAGATGCTATCCATATCCAGCAGCAGAATGAGCTGGTGTGCTGAATTTAGCATTTGCTGCCACAGGGAGGAACTGGTTAGAATGGCTATGTTCTTATGTGAACACAAGTAGCTGAAATAAATACCATGGGAATGCTGTGAATGACTTTCTCTGCCAAGTCTCCTTTGAATAAACATTTAAATTACATAAAAATGTCACTTAAAGCTATCTGAAACCTCTGGACTAGATTGCAACACAAATTAAAGTAACCATAAGTTATCTGCAGTGAAAACACAGCCAGCAGAGCTTTTAATGTTGATTACATCCAGCTAGAAATTTTACTCTGAGTTTATACTCTTCTTATTATAATATGAATCATGGAGTATTTAATATAAAACCAGCACAATTGCAAACAGAGCCATCAAAGTCTGTTTCTCTTATGCTCAAGAGGGTGAGCTTCCACTAATGGGGCCTGATTTTCCCAGGGCAATAGTAACAGTAAAACTTAAAAGAATGAATGAAGACACAGTTATTAGTCTAACTCAGACTGAAGATCTTGGCACTTAGCAGAAAAGTACCTTCATATTGATAATTCTTACTGAATTATAGTTAATGCTCATGGATTAACATGAAAAAAAAAAAGGAAATTTCCACATAATTCCACATTAAAAAAAGGTGGGGAAACTGTTCTTATGCAATTGTGTATTTCTTTTCTGCAGAATGAAACAGGATCTTCCTTTAGGTCACTGAGATGTGAGGGAATGCTGGACAAAGGGCTCAGCAACAAGAGGCAGGGGTCCAAATCCAGTGCTCACTATAAATGGGAAGTTTTCATTAGCTTCAGGAGGACTTAGATCTGCCTTTCCTGTGGTCATTTTGAAAAGCAAAGCTGAGGGGTCTGGAGAGGGTTATTGGCAAGCAGTGCTCAGGGCAGAACAGCAGCCACCCACAGAGAGAGCTGAGGCAGAGGAGGCTGGCTGTGAAACCTGAAATAATTTCCAGGCTTTTGTGCAAGCCTCTCTCATTCCTTGGTCAAGAACACAACAGGCAAGTCATACACAGATGATGGAACCATAAAGGTGTAGTTTACAAAAGCAATGTTTCCAACTTCCACAGGACACATTAACATTAATCCTACGTGAAAGGGAAAAAAGGAAAGAGTTGTGCTGCGCAGAAGCAAGAGAAGTTGGCAAAGCTCACAGCCAGCAGGAAGTCTATTCAAAAGACTAATTAGAGCCACAGAAACCCTCTAACCCATCAGAGCCTTCCTTAAAGAATATTTTGAGTAGTTTAGCAGAATTGCTAATGATTTAGTGCATGAGCTACAGAACTACTGCGATTAGTAGGTTAGTGCTCTCATACTGACCGTGAATTGTTGTGAAGCTGATTTACATACAGCTTTATAAGAGAATGCTCATCAGCCACAGGACTGGCTGCATTTATACCCCCAAGTAACCTGAATGATTCAAACAATGAAACCTTGTTAATACTTCAAAAAGAATATACAGAGAGCAGAGTGTGCAGAGAGGGTTTGTAACTATAAATCCAATTTATTTAGAAAGAGTACGACTTGGCTGTCGGTAGGGTGCTTTTTCTTTCCAATAAAAAGATGCAAATTAAATTTGTAAAAGGTGAAAATAAAAATATGAGAATAAGCTGTCAAACTCCTAAAATCCTGCTATGTCAATGAAACAAAAGTGAAAAAACCTCTAATATACAATCAGTGTAATTAGTTTACATATCAGGGTACAGTTAACTCTAAAAAAGCCAGAATGCTACCTAATGGAAACTTTTAACTGTACAGGGATGTCACACTATCCACTTATATGAAGTGTGGGTACCTATGCTTGAGGGGGATGGTACTATCACCTGCCTTCAGGGGATTCTGTGTTTCGTAGGAAGTGTTTCAAGGAGTGCTTCCTAGGGAAAAAAAAGGAATTCTAACAGTTCAGGAAGCATGTATGTTTAAACCTGATAGTTAAAGACAGTCAGTTACTAAAGAAGACAAAAGTAAAATAATCAGGTATGTTTTACAGGCAAAGAGAGACAAGCAGCACAGTAGACAGTGCTGTGTTACTGCAGTACTGCAGGTCCCTGGCCTAAGGAGTGGTGTACTTTTGTTAATCAAGCACAGGGATGTCTTGGGAATAAACAGAAGCATCAGCAACACTCCTAAAGAGTGCTGCTCTTAGTGACCTCTCCTGGAGAGGCTACAAATACATTACCCTGCCTTGCACATAAACCCCCACATATTCCAACTACAGAAATGAATCTGCATTTGCAGTCTCTTTGTATAGGCAGCAGATCTGGCCTTGGGGGCTGCTCTGGAACTGGTTTTCAAAAAGCATCTCAGTCACACCCACTTGCACTGAGACAACAGAGAATTTACAGCTTACAGCTTGTGGTAACAAAATTCATAAATCAAATAAATAGTAAACCATCTACACTCTGACTTTGCAGTGTACACTGCAGGTTTGGTTTCAGTTTTGATGTTAAAATATGTACCTGTGCATTTCCAGAGATTGTGTTTAGTCATTTGGGAATGCTGAAGCACTGACACACACAGCAGGAGTCAAGCAATAAAATGTACCCAAGGAAGACACATTGTTCATCTTCCCTAAGACAGCAGGAAGTTATTTTCCTGCCACCTTCTTACCTATGTGCATTTGTAGGCTCACACAGATGGGGTCAGACAGCTAGCAAATGCTACACACATATTTTGGCTGGATGAGCCAAAATATTGAGTCAAAATGTACAGTCAGCTGCAAGCACCTCCTCTTTGGGATTTGTTTCTGATGAGACTTCCCTGGTTTGGTTACTGAAGGGTCAGTCACCATATTCCAAGACTACTCCTTCTTCCTTGTTGATTTTAATGAAAATCAGGAAGATTTAACAGGATGGCTTGCTATGTCTTGGAAGTATGTTCATCCATATCTTGTTAAATGATGTATGCATTCCCAGTAGGCAATGGCACATCCCAGTTCCTATTTCCATAGTGCTGTTACAAAATGATTTCTCACCAACAGCCCATTTTGGGTCCCTATGGGAGGTTGCCTGGGGTTGCATGTGAGCATTTTTTAGTGGGTGAGAATGGTTCAAATGACAGCTGAAATTCAGTGCTCTGCTGTGGGGAGCCTGGGGTCCCTTAACTCCAGCTCTCTGTTCAGATGTCTGGGTACCAGTCCAAATTACCAAGGCATTTCTCTGCTTAGGTTTAGGTTTGGGTTTGGTGAGAGGGTTTGGGTTTTTTTTTAACCTGTGAGGGAACTGAAAATTGAAACTACCACCACTATCATATAATGGTTTGATATAAATGAGGATAAGAACTCACCTTCTGTTTGCAAAGGGACTTCCTGAGGGAACAGAATGGGAGAAGAGTGTGTCGTTCATGCTGGTTACAGGTCGGGGGGGCCTGAAAGGCAAAATATCCAGCTGCATTAATTTTGCACCAAACCCCCCCCATCAGCAACAGTATTTATGTAGAACAGAATGATCTTGTTTAAAGTAATATGGCAACTGGCATCTTCAAAGTAACATTGCAACAGGCATCTTCTGCTTTACACAGTTATAGTTTCAAATTATAGATGCTGTGGTTTCAAGAAGTTGATATAAACACATTGGTACTTAGGCCTGCAGGGAAATAATGTCTCTGTGTGTTCCGAGGTGAGTTTTAAGCAACCTGCTCAACTTTTTCCCCCCTGCTTTGGTAGAATAGCCACAATGCCATTGTTCCTTTCCAGAGGCAACGTCCAGGGCACAGTCCCTGCTTTCAGCCAGCCAGAATTAGCACTGGCAGTCAATGCCCTGTGGCACCATGGAGGTCTGCAGCATGGAACTGCCAATAAGTGACACATCTTTTCATTAAGTTATTCCTGGTGCTAAGCTCCATGCTGCCACATCCACATAGTGAACACAGTGTACCCAAGCCCTCAGCATCTCATGAAATACACATGGAATTTTAAACTGGTTTGATGGCAAAGTTTTTTAATTGGTATATCAAATCCCAAGTCAAAATGTAGAGTAAGTATTTACTTCAAGAGGACCCATTAGTAATGATGATTTTATTATTATATTCTTTATTTCCTGCTTTTACAGAAAAATGAAACAAGAAGGAATTTTCCTCTGCTTTCTTTTACTGTCTACTCTTAAAAATAATCTGTGTGTAAATTTCTCCTTCTGTATCCATTAAGGAGAAATTTCCCCTTTTCAGCAGACTTCTTATGGAACACTAGGCAAAAGATCTATCTGCTCAGGAACAACTAAAAGGTATGTTATTAAAATCACAGGGCTTTCAATCAGTTATGAGCAGAATCTGAAGCCACATATAATTCAGACCTCAGTTTGGTTCATATTCCCTTTAGGCTCTATGGAAGACCTATCTTGCTTTTTGAATTCTGCAGATGTGCAAGTAGAAATATGGTAGCCATCTGCAAAATATTCACTGGGCTCCAATTGTGCAAGACAACTGGTCAACCAAAGCATTTCCAAGAAACCCAGTTCTGCATAGAACTGAACTATTACCATATATTTCGTCCTGTAACTTCTTATAAAACAGACAAAAATATGGTATTTGAAACATTCAAATGAATTTCTCAGCATGATAATGCTACACTGATTTTTAAGAAGTTTAAAACTGTGAAAAGAAAGAAGTAGGATGTGGAGTGTTATTTATTTATATGCAAACAGAGTTTTAACCGAACTCTGTATCTGCAGAACCTCAGAAAAACTTCATTTCGGATCAGTCATGAATTTGAGAAGCAGCCCTTTGTCTTCCACATACTTACAAAGAAGTGTTTAATGTTATTTTTTTTTTGTAATACCGAGATTATTGCAATTTTTCCAAGCTTTTCCTTCAACAAGTGTACTAAAGAAGAAAAATACTCACCAAGTATCTCTTTTGCAGCAGAATAAAATGGAAAAGAAATCATTAATTAAACTGCCAGTTCAATATGTATATGGCTCAAGTAATACATTGGACATACTCCATTCTTATGACCCTGAATCTGAAAAAGCTGAGAGCCTCTATGCATAATCTGTTTACAAAAGCGAAGTTACTCTTGTGCAAAAATGTCTTTAAACTCCAAGACCTTGCTAAGGTTTCCTGATTAGCATTACTTTGTCAATTCTCATAATGAAAAAATGATATTAAGCTATACCAGAGCTTTCCCAAGGCAAGTTTCCTAAAGGCTGATGCCCACTGTCAGAGTCCTGAGGTTCCACTTGAGTATCAAGTGGATGTTTAAACACACAGAATTGTGTGATGTGCTAAGACAGAATAACAGACTTTATTGCAAAGCAAAGGAAAACACAGCTATTGACTATAAATTATACCTTTCTGAGGTTATTTTTAAACCCCTGAAAGTGAGTGATTAAACTTTCTGATAAAAATGGTACTGAATTAGCTGTCCTCAAGGAGACAGAAAACATTTGATGCTATTGAAATATGCTATGTTATAAAAGCATGCTATGGCACAATGTATATCCATAGTAATAAACCAAATTAAATAGGAGGAATTTTCCAAAACGCTCCAGGCTGCTCCAAGCTGTTTACAATGATGTCAAAAATAATGCTCCCATGGTCTTAAGATGGAAATGAAGTCAGGCCAGTGCAGAATAGATTTGAAAAATATCTCCATGGCCATGCCATTTGTCATCTCTGCTGTCTGGACTTTCTTTCATGTTGCTATTCTTATGTAGCGAGAGGAAAAATGACCCTTTCATCAGCGGGAGGAATTCTACCACCAGGTTTATGACACGTGGATAACTATTTCTCTAGGTGAGGCTTTAGATGTATTTCCTGCTTAATTCAAGATTTTATGTGGCACCAGTAAAACAAAAAAGCCATGCAGTCTTTTTGTCTGGTCCCAGGCAAAGGTGGAAGAACAAACAAAAGGAAAGTCTCTATAGTAATGCAGGGAGCACTTGTCCCCATTTAAGCTAGAAGCTAAGAAAAGGGTACTGTTTTGTTGCCAAAATTCTTCCATCTGATGCAAATATAAACCCCCTTTTTTGCCTGGATTCCTGCCCAGAGCTGTTTCTCTCAACTTCCATTATGTTTAAAAATAAAAACTGCATCAGTGAGAAGATATTCTCGACAAGGTTCTGTGGCATACCTCTCCCCTCAGTTAATTTGTGTCAATTATGCTGTAGATCATGATACCTCCACAACTTACAGGTTTCTCACTCATGCATCCTTGTAGCCAATATATATTGCCAAGTTATATTACCATCAATCTATGAATAAAGAGAAACTGTCATAAACCAGAATAGATGGTGGTTTGTTCTCACATCCCATCACTCTAAATTGTCTGTATATTTAGGAATAAAGGAAGGTGTTAATTTCACAGCAAAAATTTGGATCAGTTCCTACTTAATTATGGTACCTTCTCCTTGCCTTGCCTAAATGCATTTAATCCATTCACAGTAGCCCAGTTTTCACTACCTTTTATATTCTGACATATCCCCAGGCCTTCAAGATCCCCCTGCCAACAGGGAACAGAGGCTTCTCTTTCAGTTTCAAGCTCTCTGTCTCTCTCCGTTTCCCTTAAGGATGGCCAAAATCTGCCCTGTGAAATTATCACTGACTTGCCAGCAGGGCCAGGCACAGCAGGGAGGGAGCTCAGCAGATCCAACTCTGGATCATTTCTGCCAAAGAACAACGTCCTCCCAGTACTCTTGCATAAAGAGGTGCAGGGGGTTTAACTGACAATTAAGTGTGACAGGGATTTGGCACTATGTATCTACAGAGGCACCTTGTCTCTGAAGACCAGGGCACTCTCTTACACCTGGAATAAGTTCTGCTATAACCACATAAGGAAGACCATCAGCATAACTAATCCTAAAAATGTCAGGCAGGTTGTGTGAACTTTCCAGGTGTTGCACAGCCCACAATGGCTGGAATGCACTTGCCCTTAGAGATCCTTCATATAAATATTCAGGATGGACAAAGGTAAATATGTATAATAATACAGACTAGAGTAGTTCCAGCAGCCAGTAACATAGCTATGCAGCATGGAAATACAATTCTAATGGGCTGCTGCCCAAAATGCTTCAGTCAGGAGCCCTGGGAACATGCTTAAGAAAGATATTTTCTTAAGAAATACACCAGAATAAGAGAAATACTTTAAAGGCAGTATTTTTGGAATATTTTTTCCAGCTTAATTTCTTTGTACCTTTCTTCCAATCAATGTCGTAATTTTTTCTTAATTTTATGGGAAATTTAACATTTTTTTCCCTTTATTTTAAAGGACCCAAGAAGCAAAGGTAAGCCAAGTTGATGAATGAGAAAACTGGAGTATCTGCCACTATGGCTAGTGGATATGTTTTAAAAAAAACCCATCCAAAGTGGTACTTTCCTCACCCTGCACAAATACATTTTCTTTCTGCTTTGGGTTTCTTGACTCATGTAGAAAAAAAGTAGTGACATGCTACTATACCAAAAAATAATCTTGTTTTCTCAACATATCAAAACATTAGGCTAACAGACTCTTTTCAAGTGACTTGGCAGTTGAAGGCCTGCTTTTTATGCAGACTAACACAATTCTTCAAGGCTGGGTGAAGAAGCTCCACTAAAGTCAGTGAGAACTCTGACACCTTTTTTACAAAATTGGTCTGATTTCACTTTTCTCTGGCACCTTGTGTCAAGGTATACCTGTGGTACACTGAAGTTAATAGTCTCTAGATGACAGAACTGATGTTCTCAGCATCAATACATCCCAAAGTGCTGAAACTCCATAAAATTGCATGGACATCTCTTGAGGAGAATGGGAACATTACAATGTTGTGTCCCAGTAGTTGATTATACCTATATCACCCACTGATTTTTACAGGTGAAGTCACACCAGAAGAACACTTTTACACTAAATATCCCCACCAGCAAATTTGCACTTGTGATGCATTGAGCTGGACAAGCCACATCTGCCTCCTGCTTTGCTCAGAGCTGTAGTATCTACACTTGGTGCAAGCAACTCCTACCACAAAGCTTACTTTGTCTACAGCACACAGATACTTACACAATATGAGCCAGGTTTAGAGGTTTTTCAGGCTGGTCAGGGAACATTGGGTGCAAAGGTTCACGGCTGGAAGCACAGCTTAAAGACTTGCTAAGTGCATTAGTTAGCTTCTTAGCAGGTGATTTCTGGGAGGAACAAGGAAGGTAGAGGTAATCTGGACAAGTAAGGTGCATACTGTTTCTGCTACAGGAAGCACAAAACAACAAGAAGCTCTAACAGCTCAGGTATCTATGGACTGACATCCTGCTTGCCCCCCTCCCATGCCCAGAGTCTGGTAAGGCGAAGAGTGCTCAGTTTGGGAAGGGATTACTGTTACCTCCAGCAGCCTTTAGAGCAGGCTGGGGGTGTATCTATAGGGAAAGTTGCCATGGCTTTTTTGCAATGCTGCACTCAGGCATTGTTGAACAAAGAACAGTTTGTGTCACCTGGACTGGTGCTGGCTTGTACCTCACCAGCTTGGGAATGCAAGGAGAACAGATCCAAGCATGCTTGTCCCTATAGATACACTGTATGGGACATCCCTCCCAGATATGGGCCAGGAACTAGGCTGCTTTGTTCTTCCCCCTCACTAGTATCTCCCTCCTCACCTCCAGTACCCTGCACAGTTTAGCTGCTTTACAAAGCTTCTCTTCCACCTCCTGTGGCCACTGACCACTGGAGAACGGAAATTTGAGACAGGGGCTTGCCGGGATTTGCCCCACTGTGGCACCAGCACTTCAAAAGAGACTGATGTACTGTCACTGTCCCCAAAAGACAGGGAGGGTCTATCCAAGAAGGGTAATTTTCATCAATGTGTAAAAAAAACAAAACAAAACAAAACAACAAACCAGTATTTTCTGCTTTCTGTTTTGTTTGGAGGCTATGCACTTGAGGAGTAAACTCAACTTCCTTTCTAAGGGATCTCTGAGATCCAGGGTGTCTTTTAGGCTGTGTGAAGGATTCTCAGGGAATTCAACTCAGCTCTCTGTGATTCAGTTCTCTGCCAGTAAACAAGAGTTAGTGATCCTTACACTGTCTCCTCTCCCCAAAACACAGCTCTACAGACTGAAATTGAAAAATCTTTCTGGAATTTGACAGAAAGGGTTTTGTATTTGTGCATATACATCCCGCATTGACATATGATTATCACCAACTCTATAATGAAATATTTCTATGAGAGAAATCCAACCTAAATACAAAAAGTTCAAGCTCTTTCTCTTGCATTCACTAAATGCAATTTCACTCTGAATTGAGAACAGTTGATTTCCACTGCACCCATAAACACTTCCAGTGAAGTGTATGAAGTATACTGCATGTGGAGCTCAATACTGATGCATTGTGGAGAATGCCAACCAGGTTTGAACAAATGCTAATGAATGCTACAGAAAGGCAACTTCAAACTTGAAGCAAAATATTTGTTTCTGGCAAGGAAACATCTGAAAGCACTAAGCATGTGGTCATATTTTTGTCTTCCTCTGAGCAGAAATCTTAAGTTTTCCAATTACTTCCTACCTATAATTACAGCTCCCTGGCTACAGCAAAAAATGGATTTTATAGCACAAATTGCTGCTAGGAATGGAGTCTGAGCTACACAGTGGGCACTTTTCCTATTCAGATACTAAACTCTGGCCATTTGTGTCTATGCAACAAGCAGCAATTAGGATCCACAAAACAATTACAGACCCAGGTCTGCTGGGATACAATGCAGGGCTGTATGACTGGCATACAGAGCAAACCATGTCCAATTTAACCCTTGCCTGTTCTATCAACAGAAAACCAGACATTTTAGAAGTATTAAAATTCAGAACTTTGTTAAATAATAAACTCAAAGTACCATAAAAATGGGAGCTTTTGCTGTATGCATAATTTTCCCTTTTTTTTTAAACAATATCCTTTTGAAATGTTTGAAATTAATTATGTATTTTCTGCTATTTGTGTTTGAATCCTGAAGGATTTTGATGCTCTGTAAACAAGGGGGTCAACTGGGGCTTTGCTCTAGTCCATGGAAAGCTGAGTCCCCAAGTCTCATGCCCTTCAGGGAAGGTTAAGGTTCCAGCAGCTGTTGATACTTCCCTTTCAGCTTAGGAAAATCACTGCATCATTTTGATTAACAACAAGAAACCTGAAGTGAGCTTTTCTCTATAGTAAACACTACTGTGGATCTCAGCCCGTGACCACGCTCAGATCTCCAGTGCCAGGATCATCCCAAATGCTACGCATATGCTGCAGCCACTCAACTGAAAATATTGATGAATGAGCATTAAGTATTCATCATTTCATTTACACGTAGCCAAAGAGAGCAAGCCAGTGACAACTTTACCGTGAGTCCTGTGGGAACGGGAGAAGCTGCCATGAGCCCGCTGCCCTGCTGCCAGCCCCTCCTGCGCTGCCCTCACCGCGGCACGCACCAGATCCTCACCCAGGAAAGACCATTCCCACCTCCACGCTCTCCCGACGGCTCCCAGCGCCGGAGCCTCCCAGACAGGGTCACTAATCCAAGTGCCAGCCCGGCTCCCGGCTCGCCTGAGCCCAGAGCTGTGCCTGGGGGCTTCTCTGATGGCTGGAGGGCAAAGCAGTCTGCATCGAGGCAGGAGCCTTCCCTTACCCATGACGTGTACTCTTTCATTTGGTGCTGGTTGCTGTGGGAACCGCTGGCATGGCCCCTCCAGAAGCAGTCCTGACAGAGCTGGTAATTGTGACACTGCTGGCAGCGGTAGCGAAACCCCATCATGCTCTCGCTGTGGCAGTAGGAACACTCGACGGGGTGGAAGACTGGGCGGGAGAAAGAAATGGTGAGCCAAAAAGCAAAACAAAGGAACACTCAGAAAAAGTTCATGGACGAACCCCAAACTGAAGGGTGCTCCCTTCTTTGTTTAAAGCAATCTGCAGCGTTGGATGCTGCTGACAGCTCTGACCTGAGAGAATACAGCAACCTGTGCTAAGCCACAGGCAACACTTGCTACACTGGGCACCAAACCCTTCTTCACTTCTGAGCTGGTATCCATGCCTCCTGCTCACAGCAGCAAAAATTGTGTGTTCAGTGTCTAACAGAATACATGACAGAGTACAGAGGAGGGCCATGGAGATAAGGGCTCTCCTATGAAGACAGGCTGAGAGTTGTTCAGCCTGGAGAAAAGAAAGCTCCAGGGAGTCCTTAGAGCAGCTTTCCAGTACCTAAAGGGGCTACAGGAGAGCTGGAGAGGGACTTTTGTCAAGGGCATGTAGGGATAGGACAAGGGGGAATGGGTTCACTGAAAGAAGGTAGGTGTAGATTAGATATTAGCAAGCAAATCTTTACTGTGAGGATGGTGAGGCACTGGATTGCATTGCCTGAAGAAGGTGTGGATGACCCATCCCTGGAAGTGTTCAAGGCCAGGTTGAATGGGAATTTGAGCAAGCTGGTCTAGTGGAAGATGTCCCTGCTGGGGAGCTGGAAATGCATGATCTTTAAGGTCCCTTTCAATCCACACCATCTATGACAAAGGAAATTTGTATGGGGAAAATCCACTGCAGCTGCACCATTGGGAGAAGCTGAGTGTTTGGTTGTGTTCTAAGCAGCTGAGGTGAGGCGTCTTGGAGGAAAAGTCAGACTCAGCTGTGTGACTCCTGAAAGGATGAAGAGTACTTAGACATGTTATTGTCTCTTAATTGCTGCTGTCTCGTCTGTACAAGTGGTGTCATTTAGCTACCTATATATGGAGTTGAACATGTAGCTTTGGATGCCCAGATTTGGAAAGCTGGCCTTTGGAGGGATGTGTTCTCTGTTCAGAAGCGGACAGTGACAAGGAAGAAAGTCACTGAGGACACTAAAGCATCAACTGAGATATTTGGAAGCACCTTCCAGGCAATACTGCTATTTCTGTTCCTCTTTCCTTGCTACAGCCTGTACCAAATTTACCACAGGGTACTGAATATCCCCTTGTTCCCAGGCACCCTCTGCCTTTCCTGTCATAAGGTTCAGTCTGGGAAAATTTGGATCAGTGCTGAATGTGTCAGGGGTTTAACTCCTTGCCAGAGTTTTGCAGCAAGAAGGGTTTCTGCTCTGGGCTAGGAAACACTGTGAAGCTGGTGAGGGACAGGGATGGATGACAAGAGCTTGAGGAAGGTGGAATAGATAGGTTGCTCTGTAGCCAAAAAAGACTTGGGAACATCCCTTACCCACCTTGGTGCCTTTCAGTGGAAGAGGGATTTGTTTGGCACAGGAACATATACAACTTTTCCTCCTTTTCCTTTTACCACCAAAAATGTATGCACACCATCCACAGGGAACTTCCTTTTCAGAGGATAAGGTCTGGCAGTGTAGACTTAGGAGTAGATCCTTCCTAAGAACCTTTTGGCTGGTGTTTTGGACTGCACTGACACCTCCTGCCAGCAATACTGCACGAACGGAAACTGCCAAGCTGCTCCCTCTCTGCTGCCATATGTCATAGCTAATAAAAGTTGTGGTCTTGATAGTTTACCAAATATAAGTGTGTGAATGGATGAAGTCTTATTGCTCTTTGCTTATCCAGAGCACAGGAGGAGACATGATCAGGTTAACTTCCTGAGCACAGCAAAATTTAAGCCATGTTCCTGGCTGAATGACCAACAGACTTCTTCAAATATTTTACCAGGCACTATAAAAATAGCACATGGAGTCAATGAACCCAGTACAGTAGCTTTTACAAAACCATCTAGAGAGTGTAAAAATCGTCACACCAAAGTTTATTCTTGTAACTGTGTTTTGGCAGTGCCTCTTTACTTACCATTTTCAACATTTGCCAGTCGATGCAGAAGTGGTAACCACACTAGACACTGTGGTGGGGGATCAGACATGAGAGTATCCAAGAAAGTGTTTAATGTGACTTTTTTCTGCTCAAACAAGCAAACAAACATGAACAACAAAAAAAAATCAGTAATTAGACATCTCAAAATTATTTTATCTTGTCTCTACAGAAACACTTGGGAATAAGTTTCAAACACTGCTTGCCTGTAGCCCTGATTTACTAAAAAGAACAAGTGATACTAGCAAAGCTTTTCCAGGCTATTTTTAGTCAGTACAATGATACAACTGATGACTAGAAGTCATTCTCACAAGGCTGGGTTGGAGACACTTAGCTCCCACTCACTTCCAGACTCTCTTCTAGAGTCACTGCCTGAAGATGCTTTGTGGTTAAGGGTGGTATTCAACTCTGCATGCTCTCATCTGTTTTGAGTATCGTGTGACAAGTACAAGTGGATGTGGGCTATCACTGTGTATGACCAATTTTCAAATGAAAAATCACTGCTGACGGTACTTGAAAAAAGAAAATGAGAGAAAATACTGGCAAGAGAGCACAGATTCGAAAGAAATATAGAATAAGGAGAGACCAGCACAGGCAATTTGTTACTGTAATTTAAGAAACTTTGCTTGTCTAAGGAGCAATGGCAACTAGTTATGGGTGAGTTCTGACTGTGGAATGTCAAGATTGCATATGCTCAGGGACTGCAACTGCTCCTGAACTCTTCATGCCTTTAAGCACTCAGAGATTTATGCCTCTTTAAATTTCAGAGAGATTTAAACTCTAAGATATCCCTGTTGATTTTAAAAATGCAATCTAGAGCCTTAAATTTCTTAGGTGTCTGGAAAAAGTAATCACAAATCCTAGTTCATTTGTTTTTTCAATCAGCAACTGAGCCTTCCTTAAATAAAATTTAAGATGCAAAAATGTCGAGCCCTGCTGAGAATATATGTAGATATATTTTATAGACATACATATTTAAGCAGCATCCCCATATCCAAAGGGATGGCTAAATTTTCATATCTGATTGCATAAGCTGCTGCTTTAACTTGCTAAAGAACTATGGTTACCCCATGAGGAAGCTAAGCAGCACTTATGCAGTGACATGTATCATCTCTGCATGTTGTGGAATTCTTTTCAGAGCTGAGATTTCCAGACAAAGTATCTGAGCTCCATTTATACACAATTACCACCAGGTGTAAATAAAAATGTTATTTCTCTTATACACAGAGTGATCAATGGAAAACATCTCACATTGCAACAGTCTCAGGGATGAAACACAGCAAGTATTTGGAAAGATATGAAAATGTTTGTCCATAGGAGAAAATACCTCAGGCTACTGTGAAAATGGGCTTGATTCTTTAATGAACAGAAATAGCCAGAATATGAGCTCTAAACCTCACTGTAGTATCACCTTTCCCCACAACAACTGCAGTGTGAAAGTCCAGTCAAACACTACCACCTGCTTGTTGTATGAATTATCTTCCCAGCCATGGAGAGCAGATAAGCAGTTCCCAAAAAGGTACCCTATGCTGTAAGCATCAGCTCAGAGAAAAGGATCTCTCTTTTGGAGATGTGGATTTCTTTTTCTGCTGTGGATGCTTGGCACAGCTTTGCTGACCAATGCTGCCAGCAAATGTCTCTGTTGTCTGCAGCAGAACTTGAGAGCACAGGGAAAAAAAGGTGGAAGGAAGCCCAGGAAAAGAAGGGACCTCCAGTGCTCCATCCTGCAGAGCTGAGTAGCTTTAGATCTTCCCTCTGCTCTTGAAGGGATACACACAACCAGTCTAAGAAGCAAATAGATAAGGAGACAAGAAAAGCTCTTCCACAATGCAGTGGGCTTTTGAAAGCTGCTATACTTTAAAATCTGATTGGCACCAAATAAAGCAACTTAGCTTCCATGACAGCTTTATGGACAAACTGCTCTCGTGATCACTGATTTTATGGATTAGAGAAAAAAGCAGTGTCCCTTAAAAGGACACTGTCAGAGCAATTTCCATACATTTTCCTCCTGCAATTTTCTTTCAGCTGCTGGGAAAGTTTAAACCAAAAGCTGTTTTCTAAATATATACGACATACAGATGGAGTCTAGGTTTGTGGAATAACACTTAGACAAGTGCTAAGAAAATGAAGTTAGCGTCTATCTTTTTCGTTAGGGATATATTTTTTTTTTTTAAGTGGTTTTTACAATGATAACAATACTGTTTATAACATCACATCAATCCTACCTATGTGGGAAAGTGGTGATGATAAAATTTCTTTTTGAGCCACAGATTTGTATTCTGAAACATTAAGTCACTTGCTCCAGCATTTCTGCCCCACAAATTTGCTGATGAGGAAACACTGTTGTTTCTACTTTGAACAGACATTCAATCTAGCAGTAGCTCACAGGCAGAGGAAAATACGTGGTGGGATCAAGCAAACCAGTAGAATTGGGAATAATAAAATATTTCTGCAAAAGAAAAAATCCTTTCAGATGTAAACTGAATGGATTTGACACCATGACCAGGTAATTCTCAGAATTTTTTATTTCCCTGAAATTGAAGAATCTCTAGACATCAGGGGGTTGAAAGGCTTCTGGTAAGCAGAAGTGACCCATTGTGAGAATGAGTGAGAGTGCCAAACCTATTCCAAGCTATCAACTTCTGATAATGCTATATGCAATATAAGAGAGAGAAAGAATGACTTGTGTGTGACTAAGACTGTAAATACCATTTATCATGGTGTCATAAAGATCTGAATTTCATTTCAAAACTCTGGTTCATCCCTAGTGAGGATGTAATGAGAACTACATAAAGTCAATTTAAGTGAAATATCAGACTAGATTTACAAGAGTACTTGGCTGCCTCCAGATGCAAAACAGCAGCTTTGTAAACCTGCTGTGTACTTACATCAGTCAGAGACTTAACTCTTGTTAGCTCTAAGTGGAGCTTGTTAACAAAACCATGTAATGCCTGCTTGAAGATGTTGCTTCTAAAGATACCTTAATGCATCTGTTCTACTCAGCTGGATGCAATCTCAAAGCAAGTGCCATTTCTGATGGCTACTGAGATAAAAAATGAGGCCTGGATTAGATTTTTTCAGGAAAAGAAATTCCTTTTTTCATCCATAATAACAGCATGACCAACATGCAAAGCTTGAATCCCCTGTTCCCATGCATTATTTTAACACAAAACTATCAGAAGTCACTTCACCACGTAAATTCTTCAACATAAGATGAAATGCTGTTTTAAGTCTCCCTCTGCGAAACAAGACTAGTCTCACATATGCAAACATTACCATTTAAAATGAATTGGGAGATGACTCAATAAATGAATTTCAACATCTCCTTTCGGCTGACTAGAGTGCCTATTGATTAGTGATGAAACTGAGAGAATACTAAAAATGAGACTCTATTTTGCATGAAAATTACACTATTTCTGCTCCATTGAACTTACTTGTTCAACAGTATTCAGTTAGCAAATGAAAGGATAAAGAGAAGGAAAACACAACTTCATTTCTAACATTGTCAAGGTTTCAGCATATTCTCTTACTACATATTTATGGAATTATACAGCGTGATGTGTGGCAAGAACCAGAGGAATTCTCTCTTTCTCCACTGGAGAAGTGGACAACCAGCCACAATTATGGAAGCTTCTGAAGGGCTATGGATTAGCTGAAGCCAGTGCTGTACTCAGTGTACCTATGGAGTCTTTTGAGTTGCAAAAAAATCTTGTATTTTCTTCAGGATAAATTCATTGCTTTCCTGACCCTATCTCACTGGTGTTATTGGTAAGAGACTAAGGATTTTCTAATACATACTGATTCCTATTTACAAAAAAGTTTTGAGGTAATTTTCTTCTTACTCCTAAACTTTTATGTCTATCACTGGGAAAACCTGAAGTTTGATTTTTTTGGGTGGAACTTCAGCTTTGTGTGCAGAAGTTAGTGTTCTGTATGCTTATACCAACACCAACTGAGTGGAAGACTGCATGTCTTGGGGTATAAATATATAGAACACCTAAAGGTATATATGTATCTGGTGCTTAAATTAGGAAGATCCCTAATTTAGGAATGTGTAAGTCAAGATCCTGATTTGAATCACTTTTTGACTAAGCCTCTCTCTTCATGGTTATATGGGGAACCTATGGAGACCAGCTTCCTTTTGAAGGCACCAAACCTACACACCAGAAATCAGCAGAGTGGACCTTCCCCTCCTCCAGCCCTGTGTTTCCTGGGCAAATAGGCACTTATGTGTAAGACAGGAAGAGTCTTGGCCTGCTCAGAAGGGTGATTGAGATCCTGTGTCTCTTCATTTACCTGTTGTGAGAAACAGGATTTTGCTGACTGCTCAGTGTACCCAAAGGAAGGCCCCTCGAAGACAGCGGTGGGCAGCTTGAGAACCTCGCGCAGGAACATGTCGTACCTGCCATAAACCATCACCCCGCTGGAGTCAGAAATCATGGAGAAAATATCTGAGGGGGGAAAGAGAAGGAAAGATCACAGCAGCTTCAGTGTGAGCTACAGATTAGCTCTGAGTTCAATATCATCTGATTTGAAAGAGAAGTAGTAAACATGCTCGGTTTATGGAAACCTCCACGATTACTGCATCTTTATTTCTGACCTCTTTTAATAGAAAACAAGAAGAATTATTTGCATATTAAGAACTAGCTGATTTTAATACTAAAATATTCCTGATTTGTTTTTCTTTGTGTGTGGTCATTTTTAAGCAAAGTCTGATGCATGGCATGAGGCAGTAATTTAATCAGATAAGAAGGCTATGATTTGACAAGATACACTACATCAGCTTTTTGCCTGCTGCCAGTTTACCATGTCAAATCAAAATCTTGACAATGGGTTCATTAAGTCAGTTATTATTGTCTTGGACAGGAAACACAAAGCAATGAAGGTCTTGCCAATGAGTTATTTTTCATTCTTCCCTCTTTCTTATGCATAAAAATATCACACTTTTATTATTGCAGTGATGTCAGTTTGTCAGCCCTTACTTCTCCGTTTGTTTAAAATTATCCTCTGCTTAGCAGGAGATCTCTGACTAAGGAACATTTATTGTTTTTCAGGCTGTCATGTCAGCTGCTTCATTTCCAGGAACCTGGAAGGGAAATTCTGACAACAGGACTCTGGGACTGCTGACCCAAAAAATCATCATTGTACTTCAGCCCTCCACTGGATGGACCCAGCTCCTATTCTTAAAGCAGCTTAGGGAACAAATGACACTCAATTTATAATTTATAATTTATAACTTCAGCTCAGTCTGTATTTGAATTTCTACACAGAAATAATATATTAAAAAATGGCACCAAATCTGGAAGACTAAATCAGCACTTGGAATTTCTACTTGTCTACTGTAAACAACTGTAATTTGTAAACTCAGTTTTCTTGGGCTCAGGTAGAAGGTTCAGTGAAAACTGAAGGCTTTTGGTCAAAAAGTCTGGAAAATGGTCTTCTGGACCTGACATTATATGCCTATAGAGAAAGACTTCCATTGCAGCAACAAGTTAAGCATGCTGATGGGGAACTGAGAATAAATCCTACAAAATGAGAATCTGTTCACCAAAATACATGGCATAAGAAGCATAAGAATCCCCTATGGAAGAAAATATGAATAGTACATAAATATATTGATCTTCTACATGTGAAAAGACATAGATGTTACTAAAAAATAATCAGAAGAAATGGTTAAATTATGCTTCATGATGTTGAGGCACTTATTTGTATTCCAAGTTCGATAACCCCAATGGAAAAAAAAAATAAAATCCACCAATAAGAACCTCAATGTGTGCAATTTGTCCTTAAAAACCTCAGTGTGAAGTTCAACCAAACATTTAGTGGGATTTACTTTCAGATATACATAGGGCAGCTCCCCAACCCAGCCAAGAAAGTGTAGTCTATCCTAATTCCCTGATTTCTACTTGTACTATTAATTCACCAGCAATAACAGTTTTTAACAGGTATAAAATATCACTTACATCTTAATTTGTCCATGATCTTTCCTCCACAAAGAGTTGCCAAGGCCATTTTGACAGCAAAAACGGAAATTTTACCATGTCCTTCCCTGTTCAAAAGTAGAAAATAGTAATATTTTAGATGTCCATTTTATAAGAATCTGTTCAATTAAAATGCATATTTATGACATCACTTACTGTAATGCACAATATATATATATGTGGATTGACATACAGAGAAATAAGTCCTTTAAAAAGGAGGTTTGTTTTGTGGGAGCACACATCAGTACACTGCTCTGTAAAGATCTCAGAGCAGATTTATTATGTATATGAAGCTCAGTATTAAACTGTTTTTCTCATTATACACTACAGTGATAATTATTACTGCTATCTGTGATACAGTAGCACTGGGAGACACCTATCACACTCATGGCTTCCCTATCCTAAGTGCTTTGGGAATTTTTTGGACCTAGAAGATTTCAAGTAGGTGAAAAAATCAGCACTGGGAACAAAAGTGAAAAAGCACACAGGGCACACATCATTGCATAAACTTCATCTGTACCTGTCAGTAGGTCCTGACAATTGCATTTTAAAAGATACACCTGACCCCCAGGAACCCTGAAGAAGAACTTTGCTGAAAAATGGGAAATATGCCTGCATCCAGAATGAGTGAAGGACATATGTTGTGATATGGAGAAGAGTTTTGTCCCTGGTTTGTTCAAGAGGAGGTTATACCTGGCTCTCTACTTTCAATTTACAATGCATAAATGCTAATAAATCCCAAATTCTACCAAGAGTTTGTCCTGGGGCAAAAAGGCACATTGCCAGCTCTTCCCCCAACCGTCCTGAAGCATGCAATGGCTTAACTTTACTATACCTCCCACTATCCTCCTTCTCCTTTTACAGCCATGCTGGTCCCCAATGACCACCTGCCATCACAGAAAACCTGTTTTTTTTGAGCTGGGTAAGTAAAACATGACCTCAGACACTGCATGGCACACATAGCCCCTAAAACACCTATCAGCCCCAGCTTAATGTTCAGCCCCAGTTTAGTGTTCAGTCACTTTCCAAAGATGAGAATGCTCTCCTAAGCTCATCTGCTTCTTAATGTTAATACATCCAAATGGTAAAATGTGGTTTTTCTTGGAATTTTTTGAATCTTACTGTAAGGCACTAGGAGTCCAGAGTTGCAGAAGTTGCACAGGAGCAACATCAATCCATCATCCAAACTCCCTGGCATTACTTCACAGCTTTCCACATGAATTAATGATATTAATTAATGACATCAGTGAGGACATGTCACCATGTTTTAAAAAAAGAGACAACCAATATTTGTGAGATTAGCAAAATGGCAGCCACGTTTCCTTCTAAATTCTGACAAGATTAATGATGTGGCTAGATAATGAAGTTTTGTGTAATTTTTCTGGAAATGGAGTTTCTGTGATCTTCAGTCTACTCTACCAGGGAACACAATGTTTATAAGGGATTTCCTGTTTCATGTATATAATCATGTGCTACCTAAGATGGTCTAACTGCACTGGCAATAGTAGTACCTAGAAATTTGGATCTTCATCAATATTTCTAAAATTACTCTGTTCATTGTCACTCACAATTTTAAGGAAGAAAATTGCATCTGATCAGAACTAAAAGATGAACTGATTCTGGAAGGACACAGAGCTGTGACTGTGCCTCTTTCTCTGCTAATCCCACACCAGACTAATGCAGTAGCATATACATGTAAAACAGACATGAATGGTATACTCACATCTGTACATTGATGCATGCTACATGCTTCACTGCTACTTTCATTAAATCACTCAGATTTTAGAAAATGAGTCAGTTCCCTAAGCTTGACTGGCTACTAATCTTTAAAGTTCATTGAATTACATTTAGTTCTATGTCAGTGTAACACATAATTCTAAATAGAAATTCTAATTATATTTTTCACTCATTTAAAATTCTGCTTTTTGCCAGACAATCAACTAGAAACACAAGCAAAAAATAATGAATTAATTATGTCAGTATTTAAGAAAGAAATATTTACTGTGTTCTTTTAATGCTGACTTTTGTGCACTTTTTCATTACATGAGTTCCCTTTGACTGGCTTCATAAGATAAAAATCACAGCACAGGAATTTCCAGGCTTCTCTATTCCATTCCTTGTTGACTGGATTCTGATTTGTGTAAACCAGACTTAGCACTGTTATGGCTGAGAATGTGGTCCTTTTGTATTCTTTTTGTGCATGCTGCCCTTTAGACCCTTAGGAATTTTTTTGCACTGTTTCATCATGAGGTTTCCATCTGCCTTTAAAAGAGCTGTTTTATTAAAAAAAAAAAAAAGCACCTAAGTAGAAGCAATGGCATTATTAAGAAGCAATGGAAGATTTAGAGATTAAAAAAATGTGGAAGCGCTTCAGATTTAGATTATTTTTCCCAGGAGGTTTAGTTATACTTACTAACAGGATTATACTTTTGCATGGCAGACACATATCAACTTGGCTTCAGCTTTCCACCCTAGACCCATTGGCTTTTCCCATACTCAAATGGTTATGGAAGAGAGGAACAGAAAAAGAAAATATATCATTTATCTCTTCAATCTCTGCATCTGAGTTGATTTATTTTGACACTGTATTTTCTATCGGTCATTTGTATTCCTAAAAGCATCACAAGAGCCAATATAAACCAAATTTGCCCTCCAAATATATATGTCTGTGTGTGTTTGTGTGAGTGTGTGCACACACACACATGCATATTTAAATACATATGGCTGATGAGCAGACAGGGTAATGGGGCCTAAGACTGGCCAATATCATTTGGATATCCAGAAGTGCCCTAAGCTGTGTCTAAGCACCACAGATGACCCTGACTGGCAGCACTGAGGCCTCACAGGCCTTGCTGTGCAAAAGCAAATGCTGAAGTAGTGGCTCATGGCAGCAGGGAGAAGTTACCACCCCCTGAAAACAGCTTTGGGCTGGCTAATGCAAAGAGAAATAAATTTTACTAGTGGAAACAGGAGAGGACAGCAAATGTTTTGACTTTATATTGCACCTCTCTTACTGAGGTTACTCTTCAGCAAGAAGCATAAATGATGTCTAAAGCAAACCCTGAAGCTGATGTGCACTTAACAACAATAGAGGATGGAGTACTTAGGAAAGGGAATGATGGCCAGGGTTGAAGGTTACCTCCCACTGGGGTGAGGAAAAAAGGGCAAAAAATTATACATGATTTTAGACACTAGAGCAGAGAAGGTTTCCTCTTTCACTGCATAGCTGCAGAGAGAGACAGCCTGTCCCCAGAGCAAGGAAACCCCACGGACTGACTCACAAAATCCACAGACTATACAAGGCTGAGTCCAGCTCCAGGGCCTGATTTTGCCTATTGGGTTACCAAGGAGAGTGGTACCAAATAAATGACACTGTCATTTGTCAGGATCTCTAGCAACACCCACACTGAGACAGCCAGAGGGTGGGGAAAGCCATCAAGAAATAGCATCACACCTTTAGAAACAGCAAATGTGTTCCATGAAGAGGACATTGAGAAAATACCATTTTTCTCACCAATGAGGCTTAAGTGGTGCTTCCCCAATACTTTAAGGTATCTTTTGCAAAAGTAAGAAAAGTTCTTCAGTTATTAGTTACTACCCACTGTAATCAAGGCAGTAAATTCTGAAATGTCAGAGGCTGTAATTACAAATTCCCATTTTCAAAACAAGGTTTTAGAGATGAAATTTTATTGACATTTAGCAAGATTCTTTCATGTAGGACAGCAAATGCATAATGTCCAAATCTCTGAAATGCATTTTTTTTTCTGGACTTCCTTTGTCAATGCCTGTGTGGCTTTCAAGGAGTAGCAAAGGTGGAGAAGAGAGGGAATTAAACACTTTACAGGTCTGAACAGATGAATGAGCAAGAAGTTGTATTTCCAAAATGGATATTGATCATCTTTATGTACTGAAATCAGTACAATACAAATGTTCATTTGATTAAACAAGGGCATGAAAACTTACTCATTTCTCTGTAGAAGTCAAGTCCCCCCCTGAGCCAGGCAGGGTCTGTTTCATAGCCCAGGGCTCACAACTCCATTCATTCATAGGACAGTGCACATCAAGGAACAGAGAAAATTCAGCTACTTTTCTTATCAGTTAAACTTTGCAGCAGGAGTAGCTGGAGATGATCTAGCACAGAATATTTCCCACTCTGTTTAAAAGGAGTTTTTTGGACAACAAATGAATGAGGCTGACATTCCACCTTTCTGCCTAGGCTTTGATACCAGGCTGGGAGGAATTTTTCAGAGAGGTTTGTACTTGTCAACTTTTTACGTAGTACTTGGTGTGCCAGTGAAGGAAGTGTGCTATTGTTTCATAAAGCCAGTTAATCACCTTAGGCCTTGAAGCAAAAGCTCTAGCCTAATTTTAACCTGTGGTTAGAAACATAGATCAGACATGTTTCTGTCCAGATTATTTTAAAGTCTCATTCTGCTCACAGGTTTTGGCCTGTCAGGGTCATCTACCACATGCTGCTGACTTCCACACACTAATGATAAGTTAATTGAAGTATTTCTGTTTGTGAATTTTGAATTTGTTGGCTTGCAGTTCTATAAGGTTATACTTTAGCTTACTTTTAGCAGCATAAAGGAACATCCCATTCAGTCTCACATGAAATTCTATCCACTATAATTTTCCCCCACTTTTTCTCCTTTCAGGGTTGAGCAGCAGAGAAATATCTGTGGGCCTAATGAATCCCCAAGGCCGTAAAAAAACCCATAAAAAAATGGGATGTAAGCTCAGCACCGGCAGTGGCTAAGTTGGCCCACATACTATGGCAGCACACTGTGGTCCTTTTGTGTTTTGCTAGCCAAGTTTTAGCTCCTGAGAAGACATCTGTATTGCAGGCCTAAGGAAACACTCCTTGCCAGAGGGCAGAGAAATCTGCCAGGATTTCAGCAGGCTATAAAAGAAGGAAGAGGCTCTGTTTAAAGTTTGGAGGATCTTCAGCCAGTACAGTACACAAAGAGGAACATATATATTAACTAGACCTAAAGAAATGAGACAGTGGCAGGCTTATTAGACTTTAAAACATGAAATAACTTGTCCCTTGTGGTTCTTTCATATACGTTAGGTCGCAGACTCCATTTCTCCACTTTCTTTGGATTCCAAATGGGACATGAGAAACTGCACCACCTTCTCTGGACCTGCAGCACCTTGCACTTGGCCTTGCTGAACCTCGTGAGGAGATTCTCATGGGCCCACTACTCCAGCCTGCTGAGTCCCTCTGGATGGCCTGCAGAGCATTGCTTCTCTCTGAACATGAGACCACAAGAAAAGACCTTGCTCCTCCTTCCACCAACTTTTACCTTTCAGCAGAGAATGACCTTTCTGCTGCGCTGGAGGGGAGAGAAAGGAGCAACACTGGAAGCAGAGACAGCAGCCCTGGTTAGACCCCAGCAGCTCTCACACTGTCACTGTGGCATGTAGAGCCACCTCCCCCCCTCTGTTTCCCAGAAACCAGGAAACCTGAACCACCAATAGTTGTAAACCAACATCCAACACTAAACTTCAATGATATGAGTCATACTAAAGTGTAGGGAACGTTTTGAGAATCAGATGCTTAACTGGTAAGTCTTTATTTGTGACAGGTGTCTAGACTTCCACTACAGTACAGAGAGACCTAGCTGACACATATCTCCATGAAACCTGAACTTAGGTATCTCAGGTTGCACATGAACCTCATCTAATAAGTTTGCTGTATTTAATATGGAGTGATAGGCAGCTAGTCCCTGTCTCTGACATCAGAGGTGGGAGCCTCTTCCTGGGGATTCCATGGGGGTCTGTGCCCTTCTGGGAAGTGCATCCCATGCACTACACTCAGAGGCAGCACAACAGACTGAGCTGCTGCTTGACAAAGAGAGTGAGGGTCACAGCTTCCTTACCCCGGGGGGCCTGAGGGGAGCTCAGAAACAGATCATGAACCACAGCACATGGGATGTTTTGAGGGAAAGCAAACCCTTCCCCCTTAAAAACATTCTCTGATTCCCTCCAGGGGACTAAATTCCTCTACTCCATTATGCTGCAAGTAGCTGTGTTGTGTAGTTGAGATCTTTATCTCTTTACAGTGAGCTACAAAATAAGCACAGTATCACAGGTCTTGCTTCCACAGACCAGGGTCTTTCCATATGTTTACCAGCCAGGAAGCAGTTTACTTGTGGCATGCATCAATAAATTCATCGGGTCATTTCCAGCATCCTTTAGTATCCTTGTCACAGCCACAATGGTATAAATTAAAATGCCTGTTCCTTCTTTTATTGCCCTTTAGGGGAGGAAAATATTCCTGAAGGCTATGATTTCACAATGGACTGGCTTTTCTTCCTCTCAGAGGGGCAGGAGGAGAGGCTGAGTGCAGCCTTCTCATGTGGAACACCTACTTTTTCTCCCCGTTGCCATGGCAACTGAGCCACTGGCTGGTCTGGCACTGAGAGGTGCTCAATGACACCCTGTACCAGGGCAGGGAGAGAGAGCACTGGGAAGAGAGAGGGGAAGCATCCTTGTTTTAATGTTTAATGGCCAGTGTTTTCTGCTGATGAATTTTCAAAAAATAAGCCACAAAGTGACAACATCTGCACCTGTCAGCCTTAACCACCGTTCTCCAATAACTCAGTTCTGAGGACTGCAAATATTGCAGTACAGGTTGCCAAGTATGTATTCAGAAATTGCAATAGATATACACAGAATACTCATTAATGTAAGTGGTTTTCTCTATCTAAAACTTGTTCTTTTTGTAATATGAGTCCCATGCAGTAATAAACAACATGAATTTCATCACCTCCAGGTCGTTAATCCTATTTCTGTCATGGTCTCAAAATCATGCTGCACTGGCATGAGCCAGAAAAAAAAATTGCTTACAGCTGCAAGAACTTGCAGGGAAATGAGCTCTTTCAAAATAATGAGCTATTAACCCATGGCACTGCTGCAGAGGCATTGCAGTGGTGTCAGCCACTGGTGTGTCAATAAACAACAAGCCAAATTAGGAGCGCATGTGAATTTGTTTCTGTAGATAATTCTTCTTTGATATAAACTGGAACAAGTCTGAGTAGCTGGATGAAAACACAGTTGTGCTGAATTTGGCTCCAAAGAAAGGAAAGCAGAGGCCCTTAATTTAGGTTATCTCCCTAGTTAGCACTATTCACATGCTCATTATTTGGGACAGAATTGAGCCTGCTCAATTGATTTCGAGAGATATTTCTGGAGGAAGTCAAAGCCTTCCAGCAGCTGGGAGGGGCGGAGGAAAGGCAGACTCACGGATCAAAGGCCGCTAGCAGGAAGTTGAGCAGCAGGCTGATGGACTGCTCCACGTTGATCTGGTGGGTGGTGGGCATCCGTTTGTTGAGCTGGTAGAAGATGGTTGAGATCACAGCCTCCAGGCGAGCCACGTTCAGTTCGGTGCTGGGGTCCAGGTTGTTCAGGGCGTTCTCCCGTAAGGCTTCGATCACATTCCAGATGTCCACCAGGTGCACTAGGGGACAGGACAGAAAGACTCAGATGGGAAAACACGAAAGGAGAACAAGAGTCACCTCCTCCCATGAGGTGGGGAATAACACAACCATGTACAACATGCCTCATGAATAATTAAATGAATTAATGCGTTTTCCACACCGTATATTGAATCTGGTGGAGGAATGAGCAAATAAAATTCAAATCCGTTAATAAGCAAACAATATACTGATATTACTAGTTGTAATGAATACAACCTCAGCTTGGGAAATCATTCTTCATTGTATAAAGTATTCAAATAGAAGTCTGTATTTCACAGAAATCACTGAAAGGTAAACATATGCTAATTGTTTTTCTGAACCATGCCTTTATGAATCCCCATTCAGAAATTACTCTTAGATATTAATTTGCATAGCAGATGGGCTTTTCAGAAGATCCTACGAATACTAAGTGCTTATCACATACTGATATTTTGAAAATTCTTTTCAGCAATTTGTATGGAAAGCAAAATATTTTACAGAAACAGAATTGTAATTGAGTCAGGGTACATTTAAACAAATAACACATAATGAAGTGATCCGAAAGTCATATTTTATGTCTTCTAAATATATTTGCCAAATTATTTGTTAAATCTCTCTCTTTGATGAAGTCCTGGTCTAAGCTGAATTTGATGGGGCCTGTTTTTACCTACAAGGACAGCTTAAAGGACAATCTCTGCTCACCCTTCACATTGTACCCAAACAGAAATCTTGTTTGCAGAGCACTGTTATTGTGGCAGTATGATTGGCTTGCCGTGGATTGCCATTTCCAGAAGAGGTGAACTGTGCCAAAAATAAAAAAGCCCCTACAGTAATTTAAAAACGGGATTTAGTTCAAATCTGAACTCCAAGGTTCATCCCTCTATCTTAATATTACCTACTGTCCTACTAAAGCGTCAATAAAAAACAAATTAGGAGGCTCAGGAGGCAAATTCTCTTTTTTTCACCAGACAAACTACTGCACAGTTCTCATTACACAGCATGGTGATATGTCTTATGATGTATCAAAAGCCACCTGTATGTGGAAGGAGATCCATGTTTTTGTAGATAGAGAAACAATTATAATCCTCCTCATTATATTTTTATTTGATTGGTTTGCAGGTGCTGTCTCAGACTGCAATGTGACATGAGGGTCTGATGGCAGGGAAGTGTAAGCTGATAGTAGATGGATGATGAAACGAGATACAGTCATTTTACTTAGTCTAGATTTTTGCCATATGATTGGGTTTCCCTTCTTTTGCCTCAGGAATAAATAGCCTCCAACACCCTGCTAGCACATGTGTGAGCCCAAACAGGAAGATACTCCATACAGATGAGTGGTAACAGTAGCAGCAATTACTTTAGAGACTAGACACAGCACTTTTCCACTTCTTGCTGTTCCCTAGCAAGTAACTGTGAAAACCTACAAGATACAATTCCATTGTTACACCAAAGTATTTATTTTATCTTTGTAGTAAAAGAAAACTTCTACAGGCAAACTTGTATGCTGGCAGGTTGTCTTCAAAATGTTACCGTGAATTAAGCTGATGTTTGCACAGCCAGGTTTTAGCAGCTGGGGGCTACAGGGGTGGCTTCTGTGAGAAGCTGCCAGAAGTTTCCCCATGCTTGGCAGAGCCAGTGTCAGCTGGCTCCACGATGGACCCACTGCTGGCCAACTCTGCACCATCCAAGTCTGCACCATCCAGAAATAGTGGTAATGCCTCTGGGATAGCATATATAGCAAGAATTTAAAAAAAGGGTTTTTGACAGTTGTAATTAATGCCAAAGAATAGCAGGGTGAGAATATGTGAGAACAACACCTCTGCAGACACCAAGGTCAGTGGAGAAAAAGAGGGAGGAGGTGCTCCAGGCACCAGAGCTTAGGTTCCCCTGCAGCCCATGGTGAAGACCACAGTGATGCAGCTGTGCCCCTGCAGCCCACGAACATCCAGGGGGGTGCAGAGATCCACCTGCAGCCCATGGAGGAGCATCCACCAGAGCAGGTGGGTACCTGAGAGGAAGCTGTGAGTCCTGTGCTGGAGAGGGGTCCTGGCAGGGATCTGCAAACCTATGGAGAGAGGAACCCACAATGGAGCAGTGTCCTCATAGGATTTGTGATTCTGCACGCTGGAGCAGCCTGTCCTTGAAGGACTGCATACCATGAAAGAGTGACCCAGTGCAGCAGTTTGTGGAGCAATGTTGTCCACAGGATGGAGAAGTTAATGGAGAACTGTCTCCTGTGGGAGGAATCCTAGGTTGGAGCAGGGGAAGGACTCCTCCCCCTGAGCAGCAGCAGAATCAACCTTTAATGAGCTGTAATAATCTCCCTTCTCTGTCTGCCTGTGCCACTGAGGTGGAGGAGGTAGAACTTGTGAAGGAGGAAGGGTGGGGGAAAGATATTTTTAAGGTCTTATTTTACTTCTCATTATCCTGCTCTGATTTTGTTAGTAATAAATTCAATTCGTATCTCTAATTAGAATCTGTTTTGCCTGTGATGTTATTTGGTGGGTGATCTCTCTCTGTCCTTATCTCAACCCTTTGTTATATTTTCTCCCCCTTGACCAGCTGCAGAGGGAGTGATGTAGATGCTTTGGTGGGTGTCTGGCATAAAACCAGAGTCAACCCACTACAGCTGGGTGGTTGGAGTACACAACCTCTGAACTCTTCTGTTTGTTTTCTGGCTGGTGAAAGAGCAACTTCCCCATAAAAAGTCTGGCATAGGTCTCAGATCCTTTTAATGCAGTCATTCCCATTCACTCAATCATTTTTCACTGTCACAGAGGTAATCTGGATAAATGGAAGATGAACAATCTCCAGGAAGACAGCTGGCACGTAATAACTGATCCTTTCTAGGCAGCTTCTCCACATGGCTCAGAGGCCAGAGGATGGAGGAAGTCATCAGAAAGCAGGCCACTGTCTGCTCCAGGACAGAGGGGTTAATGAGCATTCCACCACATAAGGCAGCCAAGGAAAGTACCAGAAATACAGAGCAACATACCAGAAAATGCAGGAACAGGCTGGACCATGTGAATGTATTTTGCAGTGGCATTAAGAGGGAAGGACAGGCAGAAAGTGAAAGGTGAAGTGGGATTCTTTCCCTCAAGGTCCATGGCCATGGGGGCTGTCTCTGGTCATTCAGACCAAGCAGATGAAGAAGGTCCTTCCACCAGCAGTTTCACCAAGTTGGCTTCTGGCTATGTGTGCAAATCATCAAACATGAACTACAGAAAGATAACAATGTGAGAAACTACCAGGCACAACAAATTGCAAAAGAAAGAGTAATGCCATATGCAGATGCTCACCTTGACTTGAGGCTACACTAGCAAGAGAGCAATCCAAGAAACAGGACAAACAGGGGTACCAGCACTACAGATCAAGGCAGAAATTACTAGGACAACCTTATTATAAATACTGAATAAGGATGTAAAATCAGCAACATTACAGCTGGTGGGAAGAGAATAAACAGGGACAGGCTGTTTATCTTAGAGTGCATGAGTGTGGTAGCAGAAAAAAGCATGAGACTGGAAAAGGGCAATTTGAAGGGTAACTAGTCATATCATCAGAACTGCTGGGGTGCTTTCAAGCAGCCTGTGCAGGAACAGTTTTGACCATACATGTTCACTTCTGCAGTCATTGGAAACTGTGATGGGTTCCCTAACCTTGATATAAGGTTACCCAGGGCAGAAGAACCACATACCCAGACTCCCTAACAGTGAGAATTTCATGCTGTAATTAAATTTTAATTGCTATAGCCTAGTACTGGAAAATTCTTGAATATGGAGGAAAAAAGCTGGCACTATGAATAAGGCTGAAATGGGGGTTGGTGTCTTTATTCTTCACATGATCTAGTACGGATACTGTGTGGCTGTCAGATTTTAATGTGGGGTTTTTTGTTGTTTTGTTTTCCTACTGATATTATATTTCTCATAACATAGTCATATCCAGAGTTAGTTTTGATGATAGTCTTGGGATAGAAAATGTCCAGAGGCTAACAGAAGTGGGACTAATAACATCAGTATACTAAACACATCTGAGGGAAAATGACTCATTTTATTGTTAACTCTAACCTGAAAGGCTCATAAGCTCTCCTCATGTTCATTGGTATGCCAGAAAGGTAGGGCACAAGACTAAGAAAATGACTTATTGGAAATTACAGAGCTGTAAGAGTTCCCTACCCACTATGAAATATTAGTCTCAAGAAACTGCTGTGTATTTGTGCTATAAATAATTTTACTCGGGCTTTTCTTCTTTTTTCCAGAAACACTTTGGTTCCACTTGAAGCTGAATAAACAACAATCATACTGCACTTCATTTTGCATTTTATTAATTAATTGTACATACATCTAAGAGGCTGGAAAGCAATATTTCCTGGAGGAGGAGATGGAAGATGGACATGAGCCACACATTTAACAAGAACTACTTATTTTGAAAATACCTGCTCAAATGTCTAGCTCAAAATCACAAGGACATTTTGTTAGGCTGCTGTACAGATGACTGAAGTCTCTGACCTTTACTCAAGTCAGTTGTCACGGACAAGAATCATGCAGCTAAATTAAATGCAAAAAATTGAGTGTCTACTGTTGACTGGTGACCAGGGCTCCCTCTCATGTCAGTGAAAGAAAAAAGCACCTTAAAGCATCTGTTGGGAGACAGGTGTCATGAGCAGTGCTTTGAATCTGCCCATATTTCTTCACTGGCTCCAGACAAAGCCTAAAGCACCATGTTGGCATGAGACACGTAACCTCAGAGCTGGTGAAGTTAACTGAGCTGGATCCCACACCTTCCTCCTTAAACATTAAGAAAAGATGTCTCTTCTAGTCTGACTACTACATGACCTAGAATAATTCAGGTTTTATTGAAAATATGAATAATAAATACTTCAATCTGTATGAACAGCTACCAGATCCTGTCATAGTCACTACCTTTTACATTGCATAGCTTGACCTTGTGCAGATTACATTCAGGTGTAGTGCCCTACTGATCACCATGAATTCCATTATTTCTT